GGGCTTTCGTACTACGAAAGCGCATGTAGATGAGTGTCCCTTTAATCAGACATCATCTGTACCCTAACGTGTCAGATTAATGTAAAAGGAAGTGAGACGTGTATGAGATAACGCCTCTCACCTGTGTCAACCATGCATGTACATAGCGTGAGTGGCAGGTAATGTCAGTTTCCTTCCATCATGAATTATACTTTAATCCCTAGGCTGTCACATGTCCGTCAGCAAATGATACAGCCTCCGAGCGAAACAAATAATTCACAACCGAATAACATCAGAAGTTGTTTCAAGTTCTGTTTTCTTTGTTACATCTTAGAAACGAGCTGACTGGTGTCAAGTACGGAATTGAGACTGTTAACAAGTGACGCCAATTTCAGAGACCATCCCTAATTGAATTTCAAAAAAGCCATTGCACTGAAGTATTGATTTATTAGACGTCTTCCTGGTGAAGATATAATACATTTATCTCAGCCGTTATGTGGAAAACATCACAAACTCTCACACAAGATAAATCTGATAGTTTGTTTCGGGGCGTAGTAATCTTTCCATGCCTGTTTGTCTGATATCAAAAACGTTAAAATATGTAAGTTATGAAAATATATTATCCTCTAAACATCACCAATATCATATGGTCTCGACACTTTCGCGTAAGGTCTTAATATTTTCAAAGCCGCTCAATCGTAAATCTATCTTGAAATAGGGGTAGAAATCTTCAGCGTCTGACAGTATTGCTGAATCACAGAGTTAAACATAATTACGTAATCCTTATGCAATATTAAAATTCCAACGACTCCCCATGTACCACTACAAATAATTCATATTTCATTAAAGTGGGTGCGTAAGTGAGTAAGGTTTTACGCCGCCTTTAGCAATATTCCAGCAATATCACGGCGGGGGACACCAGAAATGAACTTCACACATTGTACCCATGTGGGAGAATCGAACCTGGTCTTCGGCGTGACAGGCGAACGCTTTAACCACTAGGCTACCCCACCGCCCTTATTTAAATAAAGAGTTACATACACATGTTATTGTATGCGAGGATACGTTTTAAAGCCTCACATGACGAGCAGTTTGGTTTCTACGGGAATGTTTAAATAGAAAATGTATAAATGTAATTTTTGGTACATTCAAGTTATGAAGTAATATTCATAATAATTCAATCGAGAGGCGGTGGGGTAGCCTAGTGGTTAAAGCGTTGGCTCGTCATCACAGTAAAGTTGCAACAATCGTGATACGACATCTAAAAACTAGTGACAAAAAGACGAGTAGGTGCAAGGTAGTTGGATATGTGAACGGCGATGATATGAGGCACGGGGTATTCATTCAGTCGACTTAAATAGTGAGTGAGTATGGCTTAACGCCGAATCTTAGCAATATTCCACCAATATCAGGGCGGGGACACCAGAAATGGGCTTCATACGTAATGGACGTTGATTGTCTGCGTCCAATTTCTTGTAACAGTAATAGACCCGACAGCAGTATTCACGACGTCGAAGGGGGCATGGGTGTCCTGAGTCTCTCAAGCCTCAACTCGTTGTGCTGAGTTGTCCCCCATGGGAACGCCAGAAACCTGCCAGAAACCTGTCATTGCGGGTTCGTATCCGGGTTCGCCACGATTCTTTCTACGGTTTTACTCTCCATACCCATATTGTAGGTTTCCCCAGACTGGTAGACATCTTTGTGAATCAGGAATTTCGCACATAGAATAAAATAACAGTGGTTATAAAAAATAATGGTTACATTTATTTAAATTAAAGTACTAGCTATATACATGGAAATGGAAGTGTCAAGTTCAAATAATTACACAATAATTATTCACTTTTCTGAGTAATTCTTTCTGACGATTGTACCTGGTTACATTTCAGAAACAATGATATTGCAAACTCATCTTAGGAGAAATATATTACATGTAAAATATCATTAATAACAGTATGGACATTGTCGTATCCGTCACATATTGACATGAATATAGACTAGATACGATTCATATCGGATATGTACCTCAAGAGTAGTACTACAAAATATCAATCTTATCTATCACAGATATGCAGTTGTATGAAACATTATATATACATTCAAACTTGATATATCACAGACTTCAGCTTATCGTACATAAACATACAGAGGTCTCCGTATTCATTCTGACAATGTATATATCACACAAAAAACAGCTCTATATATAGTATGACCAGAAATAATTGAGGAATTTTAGGAATATGTTTAAGTGGGATTTCTAGTATAAACAACCTTGACCGGCTATCAAGTGTTTGCTTTCATACAAGAAAGACAACTCCGTTAATCCTTTTCATTAGCTTGTGAAGAGTTATCCCCCTTTGTTTTACTTGCTAGCAGACGACATTTTCAGTGATCCTCAGTATGGATGATTTAGAGAAGAGGAAGTTGATTTTAGAGTATTATAACAAGGACATCAGATCAGCTAAAGTGATTTCAAGTAGAACAGGCATCCCTTTGTCCACTGTTTATCGTGTTTTTGAAAAATATATTGCAAATGGATGCATGGCATTGAGCACCAGGGAAGGTTTGGGGACTTATGAAGGAAAGTGTCAATCAGAAAAATCTGACAAATATTAGCTGAAGCGAAAGAAGAGGTGGTTTCGATATTGGGACGGCATGGACCACGACTTTCTAACTTCTTTGATCAGTTTAGTATGCCCCGCCGCATTGAAGCCTGCATTGCTGCCCATGGCGACTAATGACGAAATACTAACTGTTCAAGCACCTGTCTTTGAATCTAGAGTTATGTTCTGCTAAATATTCGCCACATTAATACGTGAGTAATGAGTGAAAAAGAAAATTACAATCTTTTTGAATTCTCAATAATTTCTGGTTGTACTGTACATATTGTTTGATTCTCACATTACCAGAATGCATTCATATAACATTTTACCATCTGGCACATTTACCATCTCAAGTCAAACTTCTTACTACACTACAGATGAATCCCTGCAAAATTCCTGCATAAATAGGGTTATAATTCATTTGTAGTGAGAATGCATGATCGTAGATTCAACATCTAAAACGAATATTATCAAGAACGAAGTCATTTCAATAAGCATAAGACAGATCGCTGCTAGCGATATCATCACAAATTTGCATAAAGGCCGTTATGTAACGGATAGATTGGCTGCTGAACTGCCAACTTTGTGGGATAGGTGGGGTAGAGGTAGGGGTGGGTTTAGTAGTTGTGGGGTCGGGGACTTGGTACATATGTTTGTACTACATCAAACATGATTAAACTAAGCTTTGAAGGTTGTCATATGCAGCAGACACAATGTCAATTACACAGGCATGTATTACTATCTGCAAGTCAACCCATGCCACGTATTTCGTCCAGTGATACATCTGAGAGTTTGTAATGTAATATACATTAGATCCAAAACTTCACACAGTTGGGATAATGATTCACAGCTTGTCAACAGCTCTGCTGAACTTTTGAGGTCATCAAAGGGCAGCTGAAGATTAGTCAGCAGATAGTTGAAGTAAAACTCAGGGTGCCTGAACGGATAAAAGGTATAGGTTATTTTCCGATCAGAGCCCAGTATTGAAGGAATTCCTGAAGGGTGAATGGGAAATTTCGGAATCAAATGATAAAGTTTGTCATATAATCCTCAGTGCTGGTACCAGACACAACATGCATTTGGAACAACAATGCAACTTCTCTTAATGGAACAGGACATTCAAAGCATTAATTATCTTACATCAGTCACCAGCATCTGAAACGTTATCATATTAACAACTCCTAATCATACAATGTAATTATGGGAAAAATAATGTTCATTTGACATTATTCTGTCGTTCGTGTTTTTTGTAGAAATGGCAGAAGGGTTTGTTTGTTTGTTTGTTTGTTGTTAAACGGCGCTCTCGGCAATATTCCAACCATATGACGGCGGTGTGTAAAAATCGAGTTTGTACCAGACACTCCCTTCTGACAAGGCATGGATTGCTAAAGATCACTTTTAACCCTGATTTACATGAGTAAGGACTCATATCATGGTGCCTGGAACCAAACTTTTGGAGCGAACTGAAATTCGAGCTGGAATTGGGGAAATACACGAGCGTTTCGACATCCCATATATTTAGTAATAGATTGCAACAAGCCTTCTAGCTTACCCTGTGTGAGATACTTCCGCAGGAAACAATAGATCATCCCCAGTCATTTTACGTAGCAACGAGTCACTGCAAAACAAAATGAAAATCAGTTCTGGTTTGATTCATTCAACTTAATTGAGGGATTACCCTCTCCTCTTATATTTTGGGGTTGACGTACTCCAAGAACATATATTTAACCTACATTTACAATCCCAAACAAATGAATATACTGAATAAGAGTGCGTGAGCACGCGGTAGAGTACAGGCACATACTATGATATTTTTTTCAGACAAGTAAATACCAAAGGATATATGTACTTTGTTAATCCTGTCTTCGTGGAGCCAATTCTGACATCCTTTCACTGACCAGTCAGCAAGTGACTGACCTCTTGCAGCGGCAAGGGGAGCTGCTTTCACAACGGGAACTATCTTAGTCTCACCCTGAAGATAAAGCTAAGCAACTGTCTGTGTTATACAATATCACACATAGACTATTCGTAATTAATAACAAGTGTCATGAAAGAATCAACGTTTTGTCAATCAGACACAGAGTATCATCACATTTACCTTTAGCACTAAGAAGAACATTCAGTGTAAGAATATGCATTCCAATAACCGACTTGATACTTGACCTAAGAAATCTATGACCTAAGTGCAGCACCTGCTTGAAGGATAGTCCTCGCTGACTTCTCACGTGTACATTTTGTGCTTTCTATAATGTTTACCTATCAATACACCATCATATTTATGCAACAGTCACCATTACGTCATAACCTTACATCAATTTCATCCAGTGAGCTGCTGAGTCTTCCCATGTTCACCAAGCTCCTTCTGCAAGTTCTGCCATTTCTGATCATACGGGTATTTTCCGCTGAAGTCGAAGAAGAGTTTTAAGTCCCTTTAATCATACCCAACCACCCGTCTGGTTTATACGCCCTCTGCATCAGAAGAGGGACAATCTTCTTCTCCAACGAGAAAGCATACTCAGCCTCTGATATAAAACATGATAAAGATTAATTTTACTCACCATTACATGTAGTCAAAATTGCAACATTCAAACTTATCTAGACCAAACAATGGATTCCTGAAATTGTTGACTCACCTGACCTGCAGTTCTGACTCAGCTTGTACCTCTCCGACATACACACCAACACCACAGAAGCGTTCTGAACGGCCTCCGCCATCGCCTGCAGCGTTGAACCCTCCATGTGATCAACATCCATCCAGATCTTGTACCCTTTCTGGCGCAGTGATTCCTTGATCTATTTTTGAAAAATAATTGCAATATCAATGACATTATACTGAATAATATTTTGTTATCAATTCCGAAAACCAATGGAAAGACACACCTCCTTGTGGTCAATCGACTGGTCACTGAACAACATATAACCTTTTAATGATATGATTGATCAATTCAGAAAACAAATTATAAAATACCTTCAGCACCAGCTTCTGGTCTGTCCACTGGTAACTGATCATCACATGACCTCCATATGACCCACTCCTCCCTTCGAGACCCCCTGTTAATGCTGAAAAAATGTTTATGTTTCACCCTCAAACTTTACTTCAATGTTCATACCACACATCAAAACACATAGGTGATACTGTTTACGATCCTCTATAATTGTAGGATTTCGACCTAAAGTATTGGTATTGGATACCATGATATTTAAAATGACAAATATTCGTAACAGATAAATAAAACACACACTATAAGAAAACCAATTAAGAAAAACGTAAAAATAATTGTAAACATTAAAATTATATACATGAATAAAGTCTAACAAAAATTATGACACAACATAAATAGACAGAAAATAACATATTCAGTGAGATGGAAAACAGTATTTGGCAAATTTAGAGCTTTTCCCAAAACTAATAAAAGCCCCGCTAAGAATTGGGTTACAATTGATATTTAGCAACCCTACTTGACGCAGGAGATTATATACAAAATCGGACAATCAGGTTCACAGCATAATTATCATGATAAGTGTTCCGTTACTTTGTCTAACGTTTAAGTTAGTAAGGCTAATGGTAATATGGTTCGTTGTTACGCACTTGTATTATTGTTTTCCTCCATAGTTAACACCCACAATGCTCCAGCTGCAGCTTTAGAAACGCCTGTAGAAGAGGATGACTTGAGTTCCTGAAGTAGCTGTTGCAACTCTTTATTTTCCTGAAAGAATGGTACTAAACTAAGTATATCACACTATATATATGTGTCTCTACGATGATGTGGTTGCCATTATACATCGGTTTCTTACCTCTGACAGGATTCTATTTGTAGTTCTTCCATTTTACACAGACTACAAAGTAAAGAGGGCATGTCACGCAAGTGTCTTGTCAATACAATACCTGGCTAAACATACGGCTGACAATTTTCCGCAATGGGGAATCCTTCCTTCTTTATACTAATGACGGACGTGTAGTAATAAATATTAAAAATATTTTTATGGCCAGAAGAAGCAACGCATATCAATGATTATGTAATCCACTTAAAAAATATAATATATTTAGTTCTGAACCATGAGAAATGAAAGTGGCAAACGAAGCATTTACTCGAATCTATAAAACCAAACAATCCACTTCCAAGGAACTTACATTGAATATTTCCTTGTTAGTTTTATCAAAAGACAGTTCCCATATACATTTCACGGCATACTCTTTCTCTTCGTCGATCCAAATTTCATAATCTCTGTAAGAATAGGAACGGCCCCTTTTCCCACAGGACCTTCTTGTTGGTGTCATTTTTGGCTAGACCAGTCATCCCATCAACTATCTCCTCCACACTGAAACCAATATAGCGGTGTTCCTCATCCGCCCATGCTTCCTTCAGTATATCGAACAATTGATCAATCACGGTTTTGTCAGCCAGAAGATGTTCACTTTCGGTTTCGTCCACGATGTTGGCAAGAGTAAACAGAGTCTGCAGCTTACCCTCTGGAACAATCGACGTAAGTCATGACTCTCAAGGGTCCGCATCGTTATTAATACTATCAACATAATTAGTGTCAACATGAACATCACATTGCGTTAACTGGAATATAACTTATCTATTATACAAAAGACGTTGGACATGTACAACAGTTAATAAGCAATTGAAAGATGAACAATCATATAGACGAGTGTAAATCCAGTATCTGTTGTTGGTGTTAGTCGAATAGGATTTCTCTATAATTATCACAATCTCGCTTATTAAGCAATAAAGGTATTCGCATTATTAACATTGAACACATACTTTTGTATGAATCTACCCATTAGAATGCTCATCCATTGTTATGTAATGTAAATAATTGATTGTTAAGCAAAGAGAAAGGCAGTCGATCCATGTTTGGTCAACATGATTGAGCTGACCATCCCGTTCAGATCCATTCTTTAATCACGATTTAAACCCCTGACCGGAAGCAATTATCAGGTGCTGTGTAGGTAATATTATAGTCCGTTTGGCTCAGAAGTGGACCGATGAATTGCAATCTAACTCGAAAACTAATAAACATATAATACTCAACGAAACGCCGATCATAATAAAAACATCAAACCAACTCTATGATTTTTTGTGCAAAATCTAAGTCCTAACAATAAACAAGTTGTTTAGCAAACTATCATAAAATATTTACACAGTTCACTATTTGTTACGAGGAAGGAGTACAAAGAAAGAACAATATTGACAATAGTGTTCATCGTTCACAATGAGTGGTATCCGATGTCCACTGGAATTCTCAAAGCTATTTCTTCAAGAACATGTTCGCAAACAGATGTGTAATATTTACCATCTGACCTGCACTGAGATACGGCAGCAGGACGGAAACTGTCCCGAGTTCCCGAAGATGTTGTCTGGTCGCAGGGTTCCTTGAGCAGTTCTGGAGGATGGAAATGGCCGCTTCAAATGTGTTGTCAAGCTCCTGCAACATACATTGACAAAATGTTCACGGTTACGTCTAACTGACGTTGTGTTCATCTTCCATCTGTTCAGTTTTAATCAGTATTAAGTCATAATTTCCGGTTTGTTTCTGTCAACCCATAGCTTGTGTTACGAAGCGACGTGATGGACCTTGTGGTCAGGAGTGGTGCCATATGGAACAAGACTCTTGCTTGACAACGGTACAAGAATCTGTATCGAAACGTCGCACTCACGAAATAAAGAAGTTGTTATCCATAAAAACTTGTTCCATATTGTACGTCTCAACTTCTAAAATGCCACTCAAACAAAGGAGTGGTGCCGTTGTGGACTCCCGACGGTAAGGGGGCGTTCCCTCATATAACATTCACTGTTTTGTCTGGTCGAGACTCGATTATTTATAGTCAAGTCAATCTTCATAATATTCTCGGGGATATTTTAAATAACATCAGTTTAGTATTTCAATTAAAAAATTTAAGCACAAGGCTCGTGCCCAATATGAATTTTGTCATTTGATTGTGTACATTTTCTTTTATCCTGAATGTACTGAATGGTCGTTTTATAGTTTAATGTGTGGGTGTATTCCTGGGACGGATCCAGGATTTTGGAGAAAGTGTACGTGTGTGTGTGTGCGTGTGCGTGTGCGTGTGCGTGTGTGCGTGCGTGCGTGGGGAGGAGGGTGTATTTATGTAAAGTGAGATATCTATTGATGTAGATATGTGGATAATTACATAGATCTAGATAGGTAGGTAGGTAGGTAGGTAGGTAGGTAGGTAGATGATAGATAGATATTATAATTCTTTGAAATTCACAATCAGTAAATATCTCACTGACCTCGTCATCATCGGCGGCATCTTCCACATCCATCTGTTTTAAATCTTCCACGAAATATTTCAGCATCCCAGCTTTGCTCACCTTTTCAGCAAAACTGAGACTACCATCCGTATTGTTCCACACACAATCATTCGGATCATGGATAACTTTTGAGCAACAAGAAGCTGCGTCGCGTCTTCAAAGTCCATCTTTATTGGCCAAATACATAAACCCAAGTGATTTCAGCAGTGTGTCAAATACTGCATTCAACACTTCAGCAGTGTCAGATACCGCTAAGTATTCACCGAGCTTACGACGGTCCGTATCAGCGTAGTCCTCGAAGCCCAGAGATCTCCAGTTGTAGATCCTTGAATATTTCCCAGTCTTCGTGAAAGCATCAGCTTTAAGTTCTTGAATAAGAGTGTCGATTTCGTCAAATTCCGAATTTAAATGTGAAGCATCTTCCCGCAGTTTCTTCATTTCAGCCTCCGTATCCACGCCAGAAGGTACAGAGTTTACTGCTGGTTTCTGAGTGATATCAGTTCCTCCTCGATCAGACTGTGTTTTAGATAAGTTATTCACCGGTTGATTACGAGTATCGCCTGAGCTAGAATTTGCTGCATCAGCAGTTTTGCGGGAGGAGGCCTCTGCATGCTGCTTGTACTGCCCATCTGATTATCTGAAACAATAAGGAATCTGTAGTGCGAATTGAACGTCCTATATATGGTTAAACATGTAACGAATGGTGGTAGCTTAGTGGTTTACAGCGTTCGCTCGTCGCACCGTAGGCAAAGGTTCTATTCCTTCCTTATTTGGTTATACTGAGTGGTGGTAGCCAAGTTGTTATAGACAAGGGTTCGATTCCTCATATGAGAACAATAACACTTGGTACAGCTGGGATATTGTTCAAAGCGACGTTAACATTATTGATTTGCTGAATGGCATGTCGACCACGGGGACGTCCATCACGTACGGAGAGTATTATACGAGCGCTTCAATCAATGTCTCTCGTGTAATTTGCCAGATTTGTTTCACTGATCGTTAAATACGACTACGTAATATTGGTTTCATAATCTCCAGATAAAACCGGAGACTTGCATAACTGCATCAGTGTACACACATTTCAGCTCTGGATTATGAGGCAAGATCGCAGGCAATGCATGCTTCTAATCAATATTCAATACATATAGATTTCTACATTGGAACATTTCTCCTTGATTTGCCGTTATACAAGATGTGTGTTAAACTGCGGATGTGTGTTAAACTGCTTGGGTTTTTCAATCTGCCACAATCGATCTCAAACGAAAATTGTTTATCCCCGCTGTTATAGCATTGCACCACAATATCTCAGCATGTCATCCGACATTTAAACAGCAACCAAATCACAGCTTCACCAGGGTAACACGATCTCTCTCCACTTACCTAATAAATTATGGGTCCACGCTTACATATTCCATGTGATTTCAGAGATTATGTAGGTCAAACATGGCCGACTGCATGCTTTTCCCCAAACACACCGCTGTCAAGATCCGAAAGAAGTGTTGTTATTTGTCATTCCTCACCATGGCAACGAGTACACAAAGCTCTGACAGCGAACCGTCGGGGCTGAGAGCACACGAACTCAAGTAAAGATCAGACTTAAGCTATTCATAGTGTTTGTTTATGTGTGCGTGTGTGTATTTAGTCTGAATGACATAGTTGTACTACGATAACTCATATAACTGGTATTTCATTCACGCCGCTTTTTTCCTTATCTTATGAAGTGTTAAGTTTTTCTAACTCCTATCTGTGTTTTTCTTTTTCTATATTTGATACCACACGGTCGTATTCATCATTGGACAGATTTGGGGACGATACTAATTGATCTACTGACATAATTGAATTCTTCTACTAAAGGGGCAGTGGGGCAGCCAAAGCCTGGTGATTAAAACGTTAACTCAAGACACGGGTCTGATTCCCCATTAGCGGGTAGAATGTGTGAAGCTCCACGGTGTCACCCGCCGTGGTATTGCGGGAGTATTGTCATACTGGCATATCATCCCCTTTACATATTCAAGTGCCTTGCGCCTACTCATCATCGCCATGTTTTCGATGTCGTATCACGATTATTTGAAACTTTACTATGATGATGTGGGGCGGTGGGTAGCCTAGTGGTTAAAGCCTTCGCTCGTCACGCCGAATACCCGGGTTCGAACCCCCGCCATGGGTACAATGTGTGAAGCTCATTTCAGGTGTGAAGCTACGAAATAGAAATGGCTGATAATCAGACACGATACTGGTCGCTGCGGATCAGGTTTAAAACATTAATTGTGTGTGATCAGACATGATTGTTTCTTTATAGACACTAACGACTGATTGTTGGCGACCATAAATAACATTTATTAAGCTGCCGATCACACGTTCTATTGATTTTTAAATGAAATGATTGTTATAGATCGGAAATAATATCGGTAGCTGATCATCAGCAAAATTGTTTGTAGTTGGGTATAGAGAATTCGTGATTGTAATGTTGCTGGATCCCATCAACCCTTAAAGTTGCCGATCAACCGATCAACCATTGTATCCATGGTTGACGAGTCAAGTGTGTTTTACATTAAGGTCCATAGATAAAACCGAATGCCAACAACAGAATCTGTCCAACTAAGTCCATTCACAACACAAACACAAAGCTTCGAACAAACTATTTCAGAACCATTACTCGGTACAACCTGCCCTAGCTGGATTTACACCATTCCTTCCAGCTCTTAGCAAGCTTTAGACAATCTAGGTATAAATTAAAATAATATGTATTCTACGGTTTAAGATACAGCGGTATGTTTAAGGTACTTTGAATGTTTTGAAGCTTTACGTACCCCACAGTGAGTACGATAAGAACAGTTGCCTAATAGCATGGTTTGAATTCCAATACTAGTCTACTCCGAATATGTTTTTTACGTTAGTAAGTACCATTCCCTTTGCTCGTGGGTTTTACTAAACTGGTAAACATCTAAGGCCCTCATCACTTCCTCATTGAACAGCCAGTGGGACTAGGGCAGCC